GCATAAGCTTCACCGGGAAGAAAGCTCGCAACAATCTTCAAGAACAAATAAGTGAATATAAGAAAAACTTCATTTTTTTTCTTTAGAGAAAAGAATAGGACGCTGGTTCACCACAAAGAAGACTAAGTCATTACACCTTTATAGGGTGGATCTCAAAATGCTCAAAGTAATACTGTTGACTGGGGGTATTTGAATAGCTGAGAGAAGATCTCCAGAGAGGGGCAAGTTTCATTAATGTCTCCTCGTCAAGTTTGAAATCAAGTGGCTGCAAAAGACATATAAGTGAATGAGCAGACTTAGGAGGGTCGACATTCATAGTGCCCCTTAATCCCAACGATGTTAGATCAATGGCATGAACTTTATTAATTTGATGTTAATTATTACTAATAAAAAACAAGTTACTAAAATCATTAAAAGAAAAGATAGTTAATTTTTTTTATGTGGATGCCAATTCTGTCACAAACTTCTTACAAAGGGATGATATGATGAAGTACCAAATTCATCCTCATCATAGAATTCTCCACTTCCATAGAAAATATCATGAGATGGTGAATGAGTCAAGAATACTGGTGCAGCATGTCTCATTACATTAGTAATACTGTAAAATCATCATGAACATCATGAAACATGACATGCCTTAAAGGTTCTAAATGTACTGAGAGGATCACTGGATCAGATGGCATTGTAAGGCTGTAAGAGAAATGGTTACACCTTACACACTTTTAACTTCCCTAGTGGTGATAAGTCTTAAACCAGATCGTTATGTTTCGTCTGTTTCTCCAAGTATTCAAAAAAAATCTTCACTAGAATACACGGGGATTTTTATCTTTTGGTCTCCTCTAAATAGCAATGTGATGCTTTAAACTAACACTGTAGTATGCACTCATCCCGATGGTAAAAGTGTAGTAAGTTACTAGGTCATATTGTGGTTGAACCATTGAAAGTTAACTGTACATCACGATGACCACATGTTAGGGAAATAAACCTGTGAACCTACAAAAATGTGCCAGCAAGACATACTGACTGAGTGACTTACAATAGCACTAGTAGAGACAATAAACTAGATACTCGTAACTGGTTGTAACCCAGATGATTGCTTACTTGTAAATACAAACCATGCAGTCTGATTCGAAATGATCTCTTTACAACATGGAAGCAACTATAGACGCCTAAAAGTAATTAGCATGTACTTTTGTGAATTACCTGCAGAACAATGGATAAATACTTGACTTGTTTAACTTTGGAATTGGATGAAACTAGAGCAAGTTCCACTAGGAGTACACTGTCATTTTTGTTGCAATCTTCTAGCTGATATCTTCGAAGCATTGCTGCAAAAGGAGCTCCATGCCACTTCTGATCCACACTTAGTGTCTGAACCATAATGAAATTTCAAGACATTAGGCTAACACAACTGAAATCAAGAAAACAACCAGAAAAATGACAAATCAGAGTTAAATAGTGGAATGCACGCAAGAATGGACAAATATCCTACCTGTACCATTAGCTGGTTAAACTTATGCCGGTCAGTAAACACGGAATTTAAACAGATGCCTTCAAGCCTCACAACAACAACAGGACTGTAGATTGATGGTTCATCGTTGTCAACTTCACTTATCTCCTTTTGGTAAATTGGATAAAAAAGATTAGGCAGAGATCATGATTACTAATTTCCTTGTCAACTTCATGACTACTAGAAAATTAGGCAGAATACTAGACAAACAATTATAGATGGATAAAAATGAGATGATTTTTTATCAACATATGTAATCAAATACTAAACATCAAAGATGTACTAGAGATAGAAATGTGTTCCTCTGTTTAAATCATAAATGAGGTTTATTCTTGACATTCTAGACTTGTATTTTCGGATTCACATATATTACATATCACTATATCAGTACATCACAACCAATACATAGATGTGTCTAACCTTAACAGCTATTGGAAACCATTTTGTTCTGAGGGATCGTCACATCCACTAAATCAATATAATTCAACCCATTTGATAAATTCAGTCCACTACATCTTAAAATGTTTAAAATACACCTAATTTGTGAACTTAAAACCCCTACTTCAGGAAAAAAACCTAAAAATACTCACATGGTAAGTTGCCATAAAACACATCACCATGATGCCATCGCCGATTGCCAGAAAATAAAATTTAAGACCCAAAAACTTTAATCGAAGAAAAGCTAAGGGGCTGTTTGTTTCAGCCTCTTAATGGTTCAGATGTCTGAATGGTTCAACACTTAATGGTTCAGATTGTTTGTTTCAGCCTCTTAATGGTTCAGTTGTCTAAATGGTTAAGAGATTTGCCTCTGAATGGTTAAGTATTATACAGAGTCTGAATGGTTAAGACCTCTTATCTGAATTGATCAGACATTTGGCTCTTAATAGTTAAGCAATATACTAGCTCTTAATGGTTCAGACCTCTTACTGGTTCAGCACTTAATGGTTTAGACCTCTTACTAGTTCAGCACTTACCTATTCAGAAGTTGCCAAACAGTCCCTAAGTTGGGTATTACCATTGTTTAGATCTAACCAAAAAACTAAATTTGATTCTAGCATTTTTTCCATTGAATACCGATAGAAATGCTTTAATCTGAAAAAAATTAATTGATTGTTAGGTTACATGTGTATCATCATACGTGGAACGTGGAGAGTTCCTCTCTATATATTTTAGATTAATTGTCAAACAAAAATAAGGATAAGAAATAATCATAAATTGGTTACCGTGAAATTATAATATGAGCAAAGTTATATGTATAACACTTTTTAATTATTTAACAATAATAATGATAATATGTACATCATTATAATTTTATTTTATTTAAAAGTAAAGGAATTATACTAGTATAAACAAACTAAAATCTTAAACATTGGCTATTATGATGGTTAAAGAGATTAGGGCTTGGTTTATATAAGATTAAACATGTCTTTTCAATATGCTATTGAAAAGTGGAGTGTAGCTATCACCTCCCTATTGTTATTTAGGGACTTTCAATCATCATGTCACCCCCAAGTGATCCCATTTCAGAAAATTTTCCTGATCTCATATTATGATGACCTTCCTTAAGGACATGTCAATTTAATCATTTTGGGCAACCACTTCTAATGCAAGGTACCAATATATATGCATTGTGATCATAGTCATACTTCTCCCTTGCAAAAGATAATGCACGGGCGTGTGGTTATACGTATAATTCACTATATCTTTCATCCAACCTGTGAAGTAGGGGCTGTATAGGAACTGACCTGTCTTGCACACTCAAGTAACTTAAGTGCCAAAGATGATACTATTAGCTGCATCTTTGTTCTAGAGTGAAATAAAGTGTCCCCTCTGCGTCTATCAGCAAACTCAGAAATTCTCAAAACACGAGTCAAACCATCTGTATACACTTCATAACCTAAGTTTACCATCTCTGTGTCACTGGATTGTCTAAAGTCACTTTTTGGATTTTCAGGCTGCTTCTCGATTGGTAAATGGAGCCCCAACTGTCTCTGTTGCTTGGTCCCATAAATTTTTTTCCATTCACGCACTTTGTCCAAGCTTATTTCGCGCAATAGGTGGACATCTGCAACACAAAAGATGGAACACAATTGAACTATCTAATAGCTATAATGATGCTGCCAGCAAATCCAGCACATCACACCGGTAATCATTTTGAAACACATAGATCTGATATGAAAATGCCAATTTAAGGGCTAATCATCAAAACACAGAGTAAATTATTTCCAATAATTAAGCATCAAATTTTCTGGAAAGGAAAGTAATTCCATTATCCAAACACAAACTGTCAAATTAGTGTAGTGTTACATCTGTCAAAGTTAACAAATACTCCCAAGATAGCAACAAACGCAAACACACATGCACACACTATGTTAAATAGAGTATTAGAGTTCCAATATTATCATGAAAACTGAAAAAGCAAGAAGCATTTCAATGGAGTAATTATTACCACCAATTTGGATGATAAGCTTGTGAGGAAGAGTCAAGTCATCCCAGGCATATTTAGTGCTACTTCCAGATCCCAGAACCTCAGGCAATATCAATCCCTGAAAGAATAAAAGTTTGCCAGAACAGTTACTACATGAATTAAATTATGAATATAATCATTTATAACATCATACATAGCAAAGCGACTGGAAATTTTGATTTACAACCTTTTGGTAAAATGTAATAGCAGTATCATGCAAGCAGTTCTCGATCCGGTAAGGCAAGTCTACATTTAGAGGCTGGTAAAAGTGTAAAACAAGGCTAGAACCTTCTTCAACAACATTAACAACAGCAAATTCGTACATATTGGCCTCATGACATATTGGCTTGAAATTCCAAGGATCTTTTGAACTTGAGGAAAAATCGGCCTAGCGAGGCAATGCATACTGGTCCTGACCAACGCAATCCATAATCATTCAGTCGGAACTGAATAAATGACAAATCATCTTGAGTTTTTTGGTGCTTTTTAAGAAAAGTCTCGAACACGGTAGTTTCTCTCTTTTTTGGTATCCCCCTTCTCAGTGTTAAGGCCACTCTTTGTTTACTGTTAATAGTAATGATTGTTTCCATGCCATTTTCCTAAAGGAAAGACAATATTAAGTATAAGAGTTCTGTAATAGCAGTTCAAAATTAATAAATGTGGTTTTAAAATCTAAAAAACAAACCTCCAAATAACATTGACGGACATAGATAACTTCATTTGATTCATTCACAACAACATATCGTGGGTTTATCGACACCATTTGAGAGGGGAGTTCTTTAAGAATATACGGTCTTAAAGATACACCCATCTTTTTTATAAGCTTAAAACCAGATCTCTCCTCAAGCTCAAAGTCCACCTCTGTAAGGCCTGATAAAGCATCCAAGTCCAGTAGAGCGTCAGATGTGCTTTCATCTGCCAATGTGAGACGCACCTTGTGGCATCTGTACTTTTCAAGAACAGAATAATATAGGTGAAACAAATGGACAACGTAGAAAGACAACTAGGCATGACACAGGAATGAGGACACTAAAACAAGCCCGTGAGAAGGTGAATGTATTTACTTCATGAACCAGGACCTCGTTGATTTAGGAGGAAGATATGACCCTAGCTCCGGAGGAACTTCGGAACCAAGTTTTTGGACAACATCCCTGCATAGTGTACTTGATGTCAATGCACAAAACTTAATCCTATTAATCTTGTAAAAAACAGGAGAAAGAATATACATTTTCTGATATTGATTATAGAGAATTAACGAGAAGTAATGTACAAATAATCAAAGTATTCGTCCTAAGTCTCCTTAATTGCATCACAAAGATGGTGGCATTCTTCTGGATGGTCGTGATGTCATTCTTCTAGAAGTCTTTTCAACTAACTTTTTGTTAGAATATAAAGAACCTTTCCTAGGCCACAACCACAAGCTTGAGCTTTTGGTTGAGTTGGTTCCTTGACATGGTATCAGAGCCTTGTTGACTAAGAGATCACGGATTCGAAACTCAGCGCCACCCATTTTTTAAAAAAATATTAAGGTTTCACGTGCAAGGCTTGAAAAAGACTACGCCTCCACGTGAGGGGGCGTGTTAGAATATAAAAAACTTTTCCTGGGCCACAACAAATAGCTTGAGCTTTTGGTTGAGTTGGTTCCTTGACACTTAAATTTAATTTCCAGAAATCATATCATATTACCTAGGCATAGGCTTCTGGTTTGCGGGAAGGCAGATGAAAGGAAAAACCATATCATTCTCCAATGTATATGAAGTAAAGATAGCAGCCTGCAATTATAAAAATAATGTAACACTTGTAGCCTCGGGACTTGTGTTATATTTAAATCCATGATATACACCTCTAATTTTCCTCGGTGTCCTCGAGACAATCTTAGCAATGCAAAATACTTTCCATTGCAAAACTCTAATTCAATGTCTAAATGGGAGATATTGCTCTTCTGTTTCTGTAACTTTTTCACCCAATCAGCGCTAGCAATTGGTTTGCAACTTGAAGTATAAGCAGTTAAAGTGACATTAAAATATTTAAACGCAGGATCAGCATATAAATTGACACAAGATCCTGAGGCAATCGTTGCGGTGTTCCATATAGAGTCGCTCGACAATGTAGAATGGAGATCTGCACAAAGTTGGCATCCAAGAATTAGACTCGTTAAACTAAAAGACTTTTAAATACAATTCTCTTATACCTGTCTCACTCAAAGCCACATGAATCTCTGTTTGTAATAAGTTGGAGACACAAACAGTCGGAATAAGAAAGATTTCTTTCTGCTCTTGCAGTGAAATTGAAGAGTTCTTATCTGCATGTACATATCCAAAGGTATCTGGGTGTGTAAGAGGTACATCCTTTCCAATGCTGTGAATCAGGAAGTGTATCTTAGCAGCACGTCCATCTTCAAACTCTATATCACAATATACAGTACTAAACGAGTACTTGAGTGATTTAACAGAAAATGCCTTGCGGACTTGGTAACTCAATTTATCAAATATTCCTGATAGATGGACAGGCTTCCTCCCTTTGAGATCACTAGACCAGTGGACTGTTGAAATCTTTGAGTTTGTTATACCATCTATGTTGCTTGGTCTAAAAGAGAGTAAGAAATTACCTGTGAATAGAAATATTTATTGTTAAAAATCTCAGAGGAATATTTCAAATAAAATAACAGGTGAAAGGCAAGTCCAAAAGAGGCATTTCAATTTTTGGTAGTGAGGATTCTAGAAATTAGTACCCCTGCATCAATATGGTATTAGGGTATGCAATTTGAGCATCAAGTAAATTCTCAACGGTGTCCTGTCAAAAGCTATTAATGATTTACCATTTCTACATGGACAATTAAACCTTTCCAAACATGTATAAATAAATCAGATGGAGTTATTGTAATTCATGACTTCCATCAACTTTTTATAGGTGAGATTTTTTTTGTGTGAAAAACAATAGGATTATCAGCTAGGGCCTATGAAAATAAAAAAAAGAACAGATCTTTCTGCAACATTAAGCTCCAACCATACCAACACTTATCACTTGGACACCCGATACAAATATACTTACTAAGTCCCACTCAAGAGAGGTGAGGGAAGGAGGTACACAGGCCGCAATGTGTACCCTAAAAATGATTGTCCAAACAGTCATCATATGTACCATTTACATACCAACACTTAGAGACATTAATGCCTTTCTTTGTTCACCGGAGAGACTAATAGCACCAAATGTTGCCATGGAATCATCAAGTGTATCCCCAACATCCAAAACGGCAAAAGCATACTCAGTGTCCTTTTGTTGACCACGTTGAAAACGCAGCTCCAGAGGGAAATCAGTCTCATTGCGAACTTGAAGTAATGGAGACACCACAACTAAGAAGCCATCCTAAAATTCCCAATCAGAGATTTAGTGTTCCTATATATTAACAGAATACGACGACATCAATAAATTTTTATCAAATGAAGCAAGTTTGCAAGGGTACCTCAGTATTCGGTGAAATTTCAACTACAAGAAATGGACCAGGGAGAGTTTTTGAGTCTGAAATCAATCAGAGACAAAGAAAGCCAATGAAAAGGATCCACATAAAAGAATATAGAGTACACAAATAAATTTCATGCTAGTTTTTTTCCAGTAGATTAAATCTCAAGTACGCCGACCTTAGAAGCCCCTAGCAACACAGATCAAAATGATGACAAAATGAAAAAAAGAATAAGTTAATAGTTGCTCAAATCAATTTCGTATTTTGCATATGTAACAAATAAGAGAAGAGATCCCAGTGGGACTGGCTTGTGGCCCAGTGGGGGGGGAGGGGGGCTTCGACCTTCCTCCCTCAACCAATATCGGAAAGTGAAATGTGTGTGCTGTTATGTTATATATGGGATTCCATATCAATACAACATTGCCATGGTTAAATGGTAGGATGTGTGATATATCTGGGCTCAGCCTCATCATGGTTCGCCCTATACCCTACACTCCCGGGGGAAGCCGAGGACCTATGTTTAAGCTATATGATCCATTTTGAAGGCCCTTAAACCCATGATCCTCCTCAATCCCTACAATCCAGAAACAACACCAAACCTTAACCATTCTCCCCCTTCTCCTTTTCATCTTGGCCAAACCCATCTTCCCCAAAACCCTACCTCATTCACCCCTCAAGACCATGTTAAAACACACCCAACAAAACCCCCTTCATAACCCTTAAGTTGGTCGAAAACAAGAAGCCAAAACAAACCCATTTACCCCTTAAAACATCCA